GAAATATTTGAAAAGTATAAGGACCCAGTTGAAATTAATATTAAATTGAAGGACTAAACTAAGAAAAGATCCCTTAATCATTGAACTATGGCGTTAAATGGCTAAAGAACTAAATAAAAGTGAAATATTTGAAAAGTATAAGGACCAAATTGAAATTAATATTAAATTGAAGGACTAAACTGAAAAAAGATGTCTTAATCATTGAATTATGACTCGATAAACACATTTTTAACGAAAAACATATAGATAAGAGTGAAATATTTGAAAAGTATGAGGACCAAGTTGAAATTAATATTAAATTGAAGGATTAAGCTAAAAAAATGATCTCTTAATCATTGAGCTACAGTTAAAAGATCTAAATAAATAAAAGGGAAATATTTGAGAAGTATAAGGACCAAATTGAAATTAATATTAAATTGAAGGACCAAATTGAAAAAAAAATGTCTTAATCATTGAACTATAACTCGATAAACACATTCTTAACGAAAAACATATAAATTAGAGTGAAATATTTGAAAAGTATAAGAACCCAGTTGAAATTAATATTAAATTGAAGGACTAAACTAGAGAAAGATGTCTTAATCACTGAACGATAACTCGATAAACACGTTCTTAACGAAAAACATATAAATTAGAGTGAAATATTTGAAAAGTATAAGAACCCAGTTGAAATTAATATTAAATATAAGGATTAAACTAAAAAAAGACGTCTTAATCATTGAACGATAACTCGATGAACACACTCTGGATTAAAAAATGTTTGAAAAGTATAGGGACCAAATGGAAAATAATATTAAATAGAAGGACTAAAGTGCAATATAATTATATAAGGAATGAACGTATATAATGTAACGCATGCATTATGATTCACATGTTGACGGAATAAATGTGAGATCGTGCCTTCCAATTACGCGCCCCAACTTATTCCCAAACAAAGCATGGTCCCTCCCTCCCCTCTCTTTCTCTCTCCCCTCTCTTTCTCTCTCTTACGTAATTATTTTTAAAAAAAATATTAAAAATCCTTTAAATTTTTAATTTCGCTAATTATTTTTAAATTTTATAACAATTTAATTGTAACGACCCGAAATTTTCTACTTAATTTAACGTCCTCACTGTATACATATCATAAACATTGAATGCAGAAATGCTTCATTTAAACTTTCATAAAACGTCACATTCATCTTAATACATAACAGGGTGTTAAGAATGAAAAATAGAATTGGGCTGGAAGGTGTCTATTCTCATTGATATTCATAACGTTCAAATAGAATACAAGCTACCCACTAATACTGCAAATAAGGAAAATATAAACTAATTAAATATTGAGAATAAAATAAAATATACTACCCATCAAATCACGAAGGAAAGAATATTAAGAATATAATATATTCTCCAAATATTATATCTCAACACATGGACTTACGTGTTTTGAAAATACCTTTAAAAAAACGACACAATTCGAGACTATGACACATGTATAGGGTAGTCTGTGACGTTTTATGAAAGTTTAAATGAAGGATTTCTGCATTCAATGTTCCCGACATTAAATTAAGTAGAAAATTTCGGGTCGTTACATTAATCTTTACCATGAAAATTATTGTTATGAATTAAAGTAAAATTGAAGGACTGAATTGTTATTTTTAGGAAAGTTTAGGGACCAAAAGTAAATTTTAATGTAATATTTATTAGTGTCGTCTTGCACTTTTAATGAATATTAATACTGATGGACGAAGGCTGGATTGTCTCGATCTTCAATTAGCCAATAGAAAAAGTGTTGTTGGCATCTGTTTGCAGTAGTCCTATTGAAGGCTCGTGAGATCTTCCATGTTGACTCTTGCTCTAGCATTATAACTAGCACGATGACTCGAACTTATTTAGGATTTCTTGACCCGAGCTTTAAAAAATAAAACCCGAACTTACTCTATTACCTTATTTAAGAGTTTTATTTCCTATTGGCTGACTTAAAGGCTAAAACGTTAGAGAGGGGATTTTTATACCATTCTTTAGCAATAAAGAGATGCACGAGAATTGGAAAACCCTATATAGATTTTATCCAGCTAAATCACTCCGACAAAAACAAAATTATTATCAAACTAGACAAAAAAAAAAAAAAAAATCTAATATGATTTTATCCATAAAAATTTAAAAGAATTAAACTCGATGAATATTAGATATTTTTTAAAGGGTTTGTTTTAAGATATTAATTATTGATAAAGGAGTTGGGAGTCTTTGTCAAACTCTTTAGATATTTATGTAATTAATAGGTTAAATTAATAAAAAGATATCGAGGGGTAGACACGAGGTAGCATGTCAGTAAGGACGCTGGGCTCCGAAGGGGGTGGATTGGTGGGGTCCCACATCGATTGGAGAAAGGAACAAGAGCCAGCGAGGACGCTGACCTCAAAGAGGGGTGGATTGTGAGAATCCCACATTGGTTGGAGAGGAGAATGAAACAGGGTGTGGAAACCTTTCTCTAATAGACGCATTTTAAAGCCTTGAGGGGAAGCCTGAAAGGGAAAGCCCAAAGAAAACAATATCTGCTAGCGGTGGGCCTGAGCCGTTACAAATAGTATAAGAGCCAGACACCGAACTATGTGCCAGCGAGGAGGTTGTTCTTCGAAGGGGGATATGACTAGTTGTCCCTTCGATATTGATTTATTTGCTTATAGTCATATAACCTAAAAAATTCGAGTACATTCGCAGATCGACATCTTTAGTTAGGTCAACCCACAAATCCGAAAATAGGGTTAACCACTATAATGGATAAGTAAGATTTTTTTTTAAATAATTAGGAAAAATAATCCGACACCCAACTCGAAAATAGTGGGTTAGGTTGTAAACTCGAAACTCTATTCGAGTTATTCGAGTCACTAACCCAACAAACCCGAACTTTTAGATTGGTCCAAAAGATTCCCTCGATTTGACCCAATTCGTATACACCTTTACTATGCTCGAAATATTCAAAATTTGAACGTTTATGAACAAAAATAAGATTTGAATTTAAATTTGAAGCGTTTTTTGGATTGGTTATTGGATAAGATGGGGGCAGTGATTTTACATAACATAGGATATAGAAAGAAGATGGTGGGTTTGCCACCTTGAATGTCTCTTTCTCTTCTTTGTATTTTATCTTTTGGTCTCTTCATCTCTCTCACCAAGATATGACAGCTCAAAGCTTCCCTTTAGAGAGAGAAGAAAACAGTCATGAGAGAGAAACTCTACATTCTTTTCCCTTTTCTTCTCTGGTCGATCAATGTCTTGGACCTCAGTGTACATCGGTGGACTTGAGCGGTATAAATAATATCAAAGCTAGTCATTGGACCGTGCAAGACACTCATCTAGGGCTAGACCCTTTTACAACTATTCATATTGAGCTGAAACGAA